GGGAACACCTTTCCGCGCAAGTATTTCGAGCAGAATCGATCGATCGACTGAATCGAACGCACTCTTGAAATCGAGGAACACAGCTATTGTCGATCTGCGGTATGCGCGGCGCTGCTCTAACACTTGCCGCAAAGTGAATATATGGTCTATACAGCTACGTCCTGGGCGGAAGTCGGCCTGCTCTTTCCTAATCCGAAATTCCCGTTCCGCGGGGAGGCGACGAACGATAATCGAGGCCAAAAATTTTGTTACAACTGGAGTTAGGCAAATACCCCTGTGGTTAGAACAGTCTGTGCGACTGCCCTTCTTGGATATTGCCACTATAATCGATTCACTCCAATTAGCCGGGACACTCTCTTCCTTCCAGATACGTTCGAATAGGGAGGTCATTGCCCTGCAGAGGACTTCACATCTATCCTTAAATAGTGCAGGTGGGAGGGAATCGGGGCCAGCGGCATGAAAACGATTAAGGGCTGTGATCGCGTTTCGGACCTCGGCCTCCGACGGAGGCTCTAAACTAACCGTCCATAGCTCATTCTTCATTACCTGAGTAGGAAGAGGTTCGGGATCAGGGGGCCAGCTAAATTGATCTTGAAGGTGTTCCGCCCAACGAGCCTTACAGCGCTCCTTAGTGTGTTTCGGCGCACCAGCCGCTGTCTCTGGTTGTTTCACTGACGCCTGGTTCTCTGGGACCAATGCTGCGGATCAACTGGAAGAGCTTGCGGTAATTGTCTGCTGCTCCCGCCTTCTCCATTTCTTGAGCCCGACTTGTCCACCAGGCTTCCTTGTCAGCGCGCAGGCTCCGCTTTAGTTCGCGCCTAATAGCCCGTCTGGTCACATTGTGTTCAGAGCCAGCCGGGAAGTGTCTTCGAGATTCCAACTGGTTCACCGACCTCTCGGATATCTAGTGACTGGTGCGGTGACGATGGATAGTGCCACAAGCAGATGCTCCTGTGTCGTGCATGACGGCCGAGATCCTATTCCACTGAAGCTCAGTGTCACTAGGACAAGACAGCGAAAGTTCTGTACGCAGTGCGTCTTGATAGGCTTGTCTGACCGATGGCTGAGACAATTTCTCCGTTGCCAATTGGAGGTGAGGCTTGATGCGCCTCCGGGTAAGGTGCACGGAGAAACGACAGCGTAGCAAGGCATGATCAGAGTCGACACAGGTACTCCAGTACGAGCGGAAATCCAGTATGGAACCACGCTATCTGTAACTTACGGCTATGTGGTCAATTTGGGTCCATCGCTGGCCAGCTACAGGAGGACGCCAAGTGGCACTTCGGCGCCCACTGTGTCGAAAAGCAGTGCTACTAAGAAACAATTGGTGCTCCGCACACAGTTGCAGCAGATGCTCACCGTTGTCAGTCCGTTCGGAGTTAAGCCCATAATTACCACCCAGCTGAGCTTCTGAAGAGCTCATAAGCCCTACTTCTGCATCTATATGCCCTGCAATACCATAATGTCAGAACTAATAGCACTGCGTAGTAGCGCGTTCAGTTCGTGATAGAATGTGTCCTTGACAGCATTAGAATTGCAGTCGGTGGGAGCATAAACGGAAATCACAAACAAACAGCGTTTTGTTTTACTTCGTGAATCCACCTTAGCTGAAGTCCTCAAACGGGCTGCACATAAGCGGCTGTTCACCGGAATCTAATCAACCAACGATGGCTCGGCGTCGGAGCTTAGAATGGTACCTATACTAGCTTGACGCGGGAGTGCTGCATCGGCGTCTCCGGATGCGTGCAACCAAAAACGAGAGGATAAGCCGGGTGCAGTTAATTTAATAACCTCGTTAGGGTCATTGATCCTAGTTTCGGACACACAAAACACATCAATACCCAGTGTGTCCAAGTGCGTGCGAGTGCAGCCTGTTGACCTCTTTGTCTTAGAGTGCGAACGTTGAATGTCGCCATGGAAACAGGATAGCGTGGCCTTATAAGGGACTTTTGCCAATAGGCTTCCGACAGGTGCTGTGGGATATATATATATATATATATATATATATATATATATATATCGTAGGTCGGTACTTTACTGTCCACATTCTCCGCATAATGATACTTCTTGATGTTTTTCTCGTTTTCTCATGTTACAAATTTACTAACAACCTAAGCACGTCAAGGACGAACTTGCGTGCCATTACGCCTGTTAGGCTAAGGTGGAAATACTATAGGAATGATTAGAAGCTAGACAACAAATGTCCACCTTCCTACAATACAAGCTCACTGATACCGGTATAACCCAAATGTAGAGAAGAAGCATGATAGGTACCAAATCAGCCAGTAAGTTTTAGTATTAAGCAATGAAGGCAACGACATTGACCAATTCCACTCGGTGTTGGCTGATGGTGTCAATTTTTACCACACCTCATCCAATTTAATCTCGCTTTTCTGTACATGCATACAGACAGATGGCCGATGACTGAGTTCGTTATGCGACCGAAATACTAGTGTCATCCAGATTCGACCGCGGCTTAGCGTACCAAAGGTGTTGCGAATCCGACTCACCACCGCAAATGATGAGATGTTCAATTTATTAGATCAGTACAGTCTACTTTCAAGGGAGTCTATCCGACCTTGAGCTTACGACTGATGTTCCTGGGTACTTTCTGTCCACAGATCATGTCCACCAGTTACGTACATTTTGTAACTAAACATAGGTTCAGCTGCAACGGGTGGAAAACCCAGTGTCCCCAATGATCCGTGACACTACAGACCGATTGTATTCTGAGGATGATAGCTAGTTTTTCAGTAAAAAACTAAGTGCATATACTTTGTGACAGTGTTCTGCACCACCCCCGTCTACAGTTCACCAGGCTGTGTCCACTTCCACATCGGATTTGGCGATGTCATCGGTTATCACCTGTATTTCAGTCAATAGTCATTCAGCACCTAGATTCACTACTGTTTCGGGTAGAGAGACCATGGATTTCCTCAATACATCCACCCACGACAGCTGAGTCATCGGCATGTGACAGATGACGCTTTCACTGGCAGGCGACAGCCGATCAGACCACGGTAGGCACATCGCACCTCCGGCATGGATAGGTCACGCCTTATGTTGCTATGGCGACAATTTGCCATCCGCCCATCAGCTGTGGATTTACATCCATGCATTCTCTGCATGTGTCAATGTGCGGAATGGGGGCCAGTGGACCCACTCCCATTGTGTGAACTTGTCAAGTTATTTTCACTGACGGATCGCTAACATTTGTATGAGATATGCTCCGGGAGTCCGAGCTGTAACGCAGTATTAGAGAAATCAGATGTGATTGTCCCAGTGGAAACGATCTTTCCGATATAAGTCAAGCACTCGTTCAGTAAACTTGAACCCCACAATTTAATAAGGTAAGATCTACAGAATGCACTTGACGGACAAGCGTATGCCGTCATTTAGGTGAAGAGATGATACCTTCGAACACGTAATTTGATTAAAAACGCACCCCCTTACTGTGTGGTAAAGCGAGTTAAAATTCTAACGCTTCTCAACGGCCGTACCTGGTTGACGAAGAGAACTAGGTGGAGCAGAGCTGCTCTCGATCAATACAGTCCCACACCTACAGACCAGGCTGAGATTTCTTGAACCCAGAGATGTACGGAATAATCAGGACCGTCTCGATTATATTAACCTTCACACCAAGCTGTTCCGCCCATCAATATCATCATACTGGACCAATGTATTGTGTTATGCAGTCTTGGGAATGTTGTTACCCACTAGACGCTTGCGAGCTGCAACCGGAGTATACACCGGTAAGCATGCGTGTGACCGCTGGAAACATTTCCACATGTGTTAACGAAAGCAGTAGCGTAGCCACGTGTGACAGTCCCAGTGGATTGGATCTCCCCGACATATGTAGGACGGATGTTCAGTGAACTCTTTCAGGTTCGCAGACTTTTAGTTCAAGAACGAGATGACGACTTTTGGATTGGTCATATGTTCAGTACCGTGCAGC